AGCAAAAGAATGACATTTTCAGACTGTACAGCTTTGACAGTAATAGGACTTTAAGCAAACCATAATCTAATACTCTTCTTGCTGGAGAAGCAGGGCTGATGCAGCCTTTGTACTGATTTAGAATCATAGAATCAACTAGGGTGGAAAAGACCTTTAAGATCATGGAGCTCAACCGTTACCCCAGGACTGTCAAGCCCACCACTAACCCGTGTCACCAAGGGTGAACTGATCTCCCCTCATGGCTGCCCCTCATGATTTCCAGTCACAGCCACCCCTCATCTGCCCCTTCATAGTTGCCCACGCTATATAGCTGCCACCCCTCACAGACGATGGCCATCCCTCATGCCTGCCCCTGCTCTCCCCTCCTGATCTCCCCTCACAGCCACCCCTCCTGTCCCCTCATGATCTTCCCTCATGGCCACCCCTGCTCTCTCCTCACAATCTCCCTTCATCCCTCATGGCTACACTGGTTAAAAGTATGATTTTTATACTAACATATTTAAATCAGTGCTGCATCTAATGTGGATATATTTAGCTTGGTGCAACTAATACAGTAGATTAATCCATTTACATGCATCTTTGTGTACCCCTACCTACAGGAGAGAGCTGGTACCAATTTACTTGAATTTCTTTCTAAATGGCAATAATTAAAAGTAACAAAAGCTATAGAACTTGCCAAATTAAGAGAATATCAAAACATTCAAAAACAAAAGTATAATTATTGTTTAAAAAGGAGTACCCTTTGCAACATTTAGCTGTAGAATATTACTTCAGCAAACAGAGACTTCTGTTCTCCAATGTACAAATTCGCACTCCACTGTAAGCACGTCTTGCCAAAATAGCATCAGTCACAGTCTCCTGCATCATTCTTATGCTCTCAACAACCTCAACCCCAAAATCCACTAGCTGTAGGTTAATTGCTATAGGTTTGTATTCGAAAACTTGCCATTGGTAGCTGTAGATATCCAGTTAGTTTGGGCAAGGCCCTCGATCCTGATCTGGATCTGTAACTGACCCAAACTGTCCCTTCTCCCTGCCTGGCAGCTTTCTTCCTCCTCCCTAAGGAATTGCGGGTGCAGAGCCCTGCTGCCTGCACAGGGGTCAGGGGGGTCCTGGGGCAGGACCCAGACCCCTGGGTAAGGACTGAGAAGCAGAATGGGATGGAAACACAGGAGGAACCGAGGTGGAGGCCGCTGCTCTGAAGTAACGACAGGCTGCCTGGGGAAAGAAGGTGACCAATGAGGGCAGAGGGGGAAGAAATCCTGGAGCCAGTCACTGCTCTGAAAAGCCAACCAAGCTCTTCTCACAAAAACTGTTCTGGCAGCATTATACCATCTTCTAGGACCAATACCATGCAAGATTTGAACAGCTGAGGTGTAAGCAGTTTCCAAATCTCACTTGGAAATTTGCTTTAGAAATGTAGTCTAGATAGACATTTACATATGTACACACTTGTGAAACCAATGCAGTGTCCAAAATCTTCCCTGCTCCCTTGAAATAAATTATCTCCAACTTGCTCTTCATTGAGTTCTTAACTTTCTTAACATTCTTAATACTGGACTGATGTTAACTTCCTGAAATGAGTTTCATGCAGAGAGCAGTCTTCTACCAGCTGCCTGGACCATTAAAACCTGTTAGGGTTTATTGGCATTAAGTCTGCTAAAATATATTCTATTCCTGTATTCTCTATTTATGTGCTCTTTTCCCAATGGCTGAAGTGAATTCATTTTAGTTTGTCCCATGCGTGGCTCAGGCATCCAGAAGCCTAACCCTCCAGACATTATGTGTCTTTGAACTGCACCTCTCACTGAGCACAGTTATAAAATACACTAAATCCAGAATGCACGATCACTGTTTTCATCAGCAGTATTGAAGAGAGCCAGCAATGTCTACAACATATTATGCACCTTGAAGAGGAGGACTTGCAAAGCGTTTAGTTAAATGAGCAAGGATGGGAGTCAGGGGCTGGGAAGATGCCTGTGTCTCTCTCAGACGTGCTGCAAGCAACTCACTGGAATCATCAGGGAATTTGAAACCTTTCCATATATATGGGTGTCTAGCACAGGTTAGGGAAAATCAGCATAGGCACTTGGGCTTGCAAACACCAGCCTGCCCTGCAGCCCTGTGAGCAGCAAAACAGGAGACAAACACTCGTTTACTCTGTATTTCGGATGTTTAATCCAGAGATATGGAGCTTTGAGTAATTCAAATGCACTACAGCAGAGGCAGCAATTCCCGAGAAGGAGGGAATAACGCCACGGAACGACTTGGGTTGTGAGCAGAGGCGTGCTGCCACATGGCTAGCAACCAGGGCTGGTGTGGGTGAGTCAGAGGGAGCTCTTGGTGAGCAGCAGCAGCAGGGAATGGAGCCGCTCGGGTCCTTGCTGGCAGCCAGCCCGGCTGGCTATGGCTTACGGCACTCGGCTCTGCAGAAGCCAGCCCCGCCACCGGGCAACAGTGGTTACCGTCCTTTATAGATCTAGGCAGCCCCTTCGCTATCCAATGTGTTTATTGAAGAGCTGGCAACGCCGTGGGCCTGTCCCACAGGAAGGGAGCCCTTGACGGGTGAAACCCCGCCCGCCTCAGGCCACTCGGCTCTCCCCGGACCCCCTCGGCTCAATCGGCGGCGGAAAAGCGGAAGCACCGCCCTTTCGCGCACGCGCCGCTGGGCGGGACTACGTGCCTCCCCTGACGGCCCATTGGTAGGCGGGAGGAGCGGGGCGGGGCTCTGGCCGGAAGCGCGACTCTGACTGGTATCCCGCAGCGGCGGCGGAGGGTTCTGCTATGGAGGGGCTGGGGATGGGGTTGGCCCCGGCCCCGGGTTCGTGCGTTGCGGGGCGGCTGCTGACGGAGGACGAGATGGCCGAGGTGAAGAAGGATGTAAGTGGTGGCTGCGTCCGCAGGCCGGAGGGCGCGGAGCGGCGGAGCAGGGCGGGGGCAGCGGAAGCCGCGTCGGAACGCCAGCCCGAGCGGGGGAGGCCGGCGCGGAGGCGGGAGTGCAGCAGCCGGGGCGGGCAGAGCTGCGCCGCGCGGGGTTCCCCGCCGCTCCGTGGAGGTGGGACATGGGCGGAGGCGGCGACCCCGGCGCTGCTCGGTTGCAGGCGGACAGCGGCTCCCTGCGGCTGGGACGGCCGGGGCCTGGTCTTCAAGGCGGTCCCGTAAACCGCGGTGGGCACGGGGGCACTGTAGAAGCGGGCGGTAAGGGATGTGGTGTCCGGAGGGCAGCAGCTGCAAACAAACGCACACGCTTCTCTTAGTGAGAGTCTCTCTCATAGAGCGTGAATATTTGGATTCACTATTGATAATTTTGTGAGGCTGTTTGTTCTGTATCAGGCACACACCCCACACTCCCTATTTGTTCACTGATGTCTGGAATCTGGGAAAAAACTTCATCCCGATTCAGTCTGGAATTAAGTTATCTGTGCTGGGAAGCAAGCAACATGTTAACCAACCTCAAAAAGCAATTGTTTAATTATGAAATAAAAAGGTAATTTATCACTTATTACTAGCTGTGCTTCTATTTGTAAATTTAGGGTCCTATGTTTGACTTATTCGGGGGTTTAAGTGCTTTTTAAAGTATAATAAAGAATGTTTGGAGGTCGGGTTTAGGTTTTTTACTGGTTTTATCCATACATAATTTTCTTTAAATGCTTTGTCATGGGTTTGTGAGGCACGTTTTTCAACTTACTACTTGGTTCTGTGGAGCCGCAAGGTAGTACTGGAATACTCAGCATCTGATTGTTACACCAAAAAAAATCATATATAGGAACAAGATAAATCAGGCATATGTATAAACATGATATGTATGAATATATGAACATGATATGTATATAAGGGAAAAATTCTTTACTGTTAGGGTGGTGAGGCACTGGAATGGGTTGCCCAGGGAGGTTGTGAATGCTCCGTCCCTGGCGGTGTTCAAAGCCACGTTGGATGAAGTCTTGGGTGACATGGTTTAGTGTGAGGTGTCCCTGCCCATGGCAGGGGGTTTGGAACTTGATGATCTTAAGGTCCTTTCCAGCCCTAACTATTCTATGATTCTATGTCAGTGTGTCAGTGACTGAATTCAAAGCTGCATCTCATAGAAGGTCATGTATACTTAATCTTATGGGGTATCCCATAGTAATTGGAAATAACTGGAACTTGATGAAAGCCTCATTTGCAGAAATAAATAACATTGATTTTACCATCAAAATACAGTCCAGTGAATATGACTTCAGAGCTGCTTCTCTCATATTTTAGATGTTGCAGTTTCATGATACAAAGTGCTGGTTCAGTGTAAACATTCACTTTGCTGTTTCAGAGCCGTTCACGTGCCTCTGGTAACATCACTTCAAACACCAGTGCTGCGTTACCAGAAGTACTGTGTGCATTCTGTGACAGCATACCTCAGAAAGGTGACTTACACAGATAACTTGATCTGGCTAAGCTTGTGTAGAGGAGGAATTTTAAAGGCTGGAGTCTTACATGGGAAGGAGGCAGTGAGCCATGCAAAATCCTTGATACAGAGCAAAGTACATTTAAAGCTTCTGGTTTAATATATTTACTATTTCTGTCCCTCGTAAACTGTTAACTTGAGGAGTGTGTAGAGGGGAATTCAGAACATACACACTTCATACAGTGAAAGACTCATTACTGGAAGATGTTAGTGAGAACACAGTAGTCTTTCTGTTCAGTGACAACTCTGTTCTTTTAATGTTGAAGCGTTGACGGACTTACGTTTTGGAGTTTGTTGACTGACCCTTCTGGGGATAGGATGTCATTTCCATGGGAGCTGAAGAAATCTGTATTGTCTTTTACATTTGCAACCATTCAGTCATGGGCTTTTTGAAATTGGACACTTCCAGAGCTGCCTAAATTGATATAAGCTGTACTGTTGCACTCTTTTGCTCTTATTGTAGTTGTTACGCCACCAGTAATGCCAGTCTGACTGCACATTCAGCTGGATTGGGTAACAAATCTGGTTGTTGGATGGGGAAAAAAAGCAGATTCAGTTTCTTGACTGGATCCTTTCATCCACCAGTACATGGGAAAGTGTGGGAACACGCAGCTGCTATGCACGGGGGGGGAGTGCTTCTTGCACTTAAATGGTCCACCATGGAGCTGCACTTTTCATTTTTGGGCTTACAATTTAGTGGTGATAGTCTACGACCAGAGGTCTTCCTTTATCTTCCATGCAGGCTCACCTGATGTTTTCTTTAACAACTGTGGAACCGCAGGCTGTTAGCTTGGTATTTGTTGGATCCTAAAGAGCAACTAGAAGAACACATTTAACCTCTGCTATACTTAGTGGAGCAGTACAGGAAGTTTTTTCTTTAAAGAGTTATTGGTGCTTTCCCTAGCACCAGTATGCCAGACAGGATTTTGCTATTTGAAATAATTTGTCTTAAAGTAAGTCTTTATATCTAGCTTTTCTTCTGCTTCTATTTACTAAGCTAGTAAATGGCTGTAAGGCAGTGATTTAAAAACTGTTAATTTAAAAATGCTGCTGTTATGGAATCGAATCTCAAAAAGTAGGAGGTTATTTGAATACTTCCCTCAGGAAAGAAGATTTATTTCTTTCCATCTCTTCACATGGCTTTATGTAAAGGTGCTTTTTCTTCTGGTGCTCAAGTTTTTGTGGGTTTGGGGTTTTTTTTTTTGATTCTTCTAAATCAAATGATACTGTGGGTGTTCTTTTATATTTTCACACTGGTAATAATCAGCTCATGGGTATCTGACTTGTGTAATTCTGCACAGTGAAAAATGTTGGCAGGAGAAACTGACAATTTTTGTGGTATCCTATGAAACAAGAGCTTGTTTTTCAAGCACAGAGATGTCATTTGTGACTCTTATCTTTATAGAACAGTAGATACTGAAACCAGAGTGTTGTAAACGTGCATTAATTCTGTTCCAGTGTTGGTATCAAGCAGGTTTGTTAATGTACAGCTCAAAAGAAGATGAGTAGAATTTACATCCTGGTGACATTCTTGTATGCACCCTCTGAACAAGGTGGTGGAAGAATATTTTTGTTTCAATAACTACAAATAAGTTGGTCAGTATAGGAGGAGATGCTTTAACAATTGTTTCCTTAACCTGTACCAGAATCATACAGGTTTCAAATACAGGCTTCTGAATAAATGGAGAGACTGGCTAATACTGGTTTGTTTTGTTTTTCAGGCGTTGGAAAGGATGCGTCCTTACCTATGCGATAAAATCATAGCCGAGAGACACTTTGATTACCTACGTTCAAGGAAAATACTCACTAGAGAGGACACAGAAGAAATTTCTTCTCGATCTTCCAGTAGGAAGAAAACTGGGAAGTTACTGGACTACTTGGCAGAAAACCCAAAGGGACTAGATGCTTTGATTGAATCTATCAGACGGGAAAGAACACAAAACTTCCTGTTACAAAGGATAACTGATGTAGTGTTGAAGGTCAAAAATGAAAAACTTGAAGCTCTCAAAGGTAAGAAGTTTAAAATAATATTTTCTAAGACATAAGTTTTATTTGGAGGGTTTGCAAAATTAATCTCCAACAGTTACTGAGATCACATTTCTTAGTACAGATGGGATTGTTTGGTTGGTTTGGGGTTTTTTTTCCCCTTTCTATGTTTGGGGGGACAATCTTGGAAATATCACTGGTTTCTTTGGGTTTAAGATCGTAGGGCACATGTTCTGGCTCTGCCTTTTTACTATCCAAACACATCATAAATAACAAATTGCAAAAAAAACAATCCAAAACCTATCATGTGTTGTTATGATACCTTCCTTCACATTTCAGTTTTGTTTTCTATGAGGAACTCAAAATAGGTGGTTCTTGCATTTCTTTTGAAGCCATTTGCTACAGTGGCAGGATGCTCTGGTTTTGTTAAGCTCTGTGCCTCATCAGAAGATAAGCTGGCATATGCAACCTGAGGGGAATTCCCCCATGTGTGTTCAGTGCCAGAACTTAGAATTAGATTCTCTAAGTGTATGCAGGTGTTGTTTGAAACAGACAGGAAGATTTTGTTGACACACAAAGCTTGAAGTGACTATATGTACTCATATTTTAAGGCAGATAAAGTATAAGCCCTGTAAACCAAAACCCTTACTTCCCCTTCCACACCCATCAGAAGAGAAATAAAGGAAGAAGTACATTCTAATAGTACTTTCAGGTAAAACAGCCTTTAAATGCAGTCCACTTTGGAGCAGAACCACGTAGCTGAAGCTTTTAGGAGTTTGAAGAACACAGTGAGAAAAACCTATCAAAAGATGGGTTTGAGGTCTAAAGTGACTTCCTAAAACGAAGCTTAAATTATGGTGTGTTTTTTGTTATGGCTGATCCAGAGAAATCATTCACATCATCCTGGATAACCTGCATGTTTTAAATTTGTTAATAATATTGGGATGTCACAGGTGAGATGAAGAGATTTGTATGTTAAAATTACAGACAACTGATTTCTGACAATCTTACTGATACTAAATCAGAGCACAGTTTTAAAAGTGCACCACCACACTGTAATTAACTCCAGTCTGTTTTTTGTCATAGGTCTAAGCTGTAGCACCTGTATGACTTCACTGTATGGAGGAACAAATAATCTTTCTAGATCATATTCTGATGAATCTAATTTTTTTGATAAAACAAAAGACAAAGAATCTACCCAGATACATCACCCAGAAGAAGATCACAGCACCGCCGCGTTTGTGTCTGCTGTCTCTCTTCACTCAATGAATTTACCAATCACAGAGATGGGAAACGCAGAGAGTGCTGTTTTCTCAGCCACCCTTCCAGGGCCTGGAGACCCTGGTGCTCCCCCACTCCCCCCAGAGCTCCAGGCAGAGCAGCAAGAACCATGTAGTAGTTCAAGTGAAAACTGCTTTCTGCCTTTAAGATCACGTTCTGTTCAGCCACAATGAACGTAGTGACTTTTGTCTGTTCATCCAGATGGTACTGAAACTCTGTATGATGGCTCATAAAGGTTAAAGCAATGTTTTCAAAGTGTTAACTAGCAAAATCAGAGGTAACAATCCATTTACTGGTTTTAAGGAGTTAACTTTTTTGTTTTGTTTTGGGGGAGTTTTTTGGTGGGTTTTTTTTTTTTTATAATTTGGTGACTGGAGCTGCTAGATTTAATGTTCTCTGGGAGCTTTTTTTTCCATAAGATCATGGTATTAGTATTATATGAGCAAAGGGTTATTTTTTAAACCAGTGTATTTAATACTTCAGTTAGCTGCAGATACGGAACATAAGCAGGTTTTTTTTCTTCCTACAGAAACTTAACAAATCTACTTTTTTTTAATGTTTTCATGACAGGTGAATTGGGAAACATGGTTAGGAAAGACATTGAGTATTGAAAAATAACTTCCTGAACTAAAAGCTTAAACTTACTTACCACAAAGCTTGAACTCATTTACTAAATTAAACTTTATCTTACAGAGAAACATTTGCCTTCTATGTAGGTGTGTGCAGCTCCATTTACAAAACAAAACCCAAACTGAAAACCCGAATCTGTAGTTACACTTGCAAGAGGTCTTTTAATTGTCTCAGCTTTATCCTACTGGTAAATCAAAAGGCACTCGGTATCACAGTGATTTGAGTTAGCAAATATACTTCCACAAGTCTTAGCATATTATTCTTGTGTATTAGTGACAGATTTCTGATTTGACATGCACTTTAAATATAAATTCTCAGTACTGGAAGAGGAATGTAAACTGCTGTAACAGCATCATGTGGTCTGTAAGAAAATGTTATTGTATAATGCTGTTAAGGAGCAAAGCTTGTATGTTTTGTCCCAGTAGGTAAGTAGAGGAGTCCTGTAGCAAGAACATGTCCATACCTGAAGGACTCTTGGAAATGTTGCACTTCAGATACCTACTCTTCAAAGCAGATAGATGGGTTTACATTTCAAATTGTTTAGAGTCAAATGCATTTTAAACTATTTCAACATGGGAAGGTTCTCATTTCTTAACACAGTGTAACATGCTTTATTCCTCTCACACTCTAGTCATCATGTTTCAAAGTTGGCCTACAATAACTTTAAAATTATTTGGCAAACTCATAATGTGGAAATGGGTACGGTTACATTCTGCATTACACTTTAAAGTCATGGGGTGTTTTCAGCATATCAAAGGGTAGGTTTCTATTTAAGGCTTTAAATTATTTTGGCTCTCAGGCAGGGCTATAGCTGCGTAATTCTATTCAAATTCAAACCCAGGTGGTATTCCTAAACTGTGTTCTGTTGTGGAGACAGACCATCTGCAGGACCCCAGTGCAGCCTCTGTTTTGTTTCTTCATAATGTTTACTCTGGTTTTGGAAGTAGGTTAAAATAAACTGCAATGTTCAGCTACCCTCCATACTTAGTATATGAATAGCTTACATTCAGTAGAGATGTGGGCTTCTGCTCAGCGTTTATAAAAATCCTTGATTTTCTTCTGTACCAGTCATGAGACTGCCTGGATGATAAAAATGCTCTTTAACAAAAGTGCTTGGTTCAGAAGGTACTCTGGGAGTTAAGTGCCTAAATATATAAGCAAAATTTTGCTCTCTTAACATGAGATTAAGGGAAGGCTTAAATCACCCTTTCCCATTAACCTGAACTGTAGTTGCATGTACTTGAGATGTCTAGAATTTTGTCTAAATACCCACTGTAACCACTTGAAGAGCTGTGCTCAGGTTTGGGTCCCTCCTTGGGTTCTTGTCAGTGGATGACAGTGAGCAAGCTTGGCCTTAACTGAAACAGCATTAGCTCTGGGTGAAGACTGCCTTGCAGACTGACATCCAACCATCAGGGCCCCATACAGGGATCGCTCCTGCACACAGCCTGTAAACCTGTGGCTTTGATGAATGTATTATCTTACCAAATGGTTGTTAACATGCTTTTTCTTTTCTAAAAATGGAAATATTTTTATCACAACTTTTGGAATAAATTCTTTTGTATAACTGCCTGTTTTCCTGTCTGCCTTCCTCATTATCAACATGCACAGGGTGTAAGAGCAGTTCATGCTGGTGTCTGGAGGTGTGGGTTTAGGTTGGTGTGTGCAGGTGGCTTTTGTTCTTGTTGTCCCGTTAGGTTTGTCTTTGGTGCAAAGGCTGACTTAATGTGAAACACCTTTGCCTGTGGGGCTGCATTCAGGCGCAGTGTATAGGGAAAACATGCGTATAAAATGAAGGCCTTGCTGCTTAACTACACTTTATGTGGTTCATGACTAGTATTGCTAACCTGCGTCTTGCTTGTCTGTTTTCAAATGCCCTCAATTGTTCAAGCTGTGAGAAGTGCTGCTTCCAGCCATGCATATATTGACTGAATTCTTAACGTAAGATTTGGTTTATTAATAGGGAAGGAGAAAGAAAATACTCAAGTGATGAGGAGAACGATTCAGAAAAGGATCTGCAAATGTTGCAGGCTCTACTGTGTGGTTGCTTTCATCAAACTCTGTGTATAGGGTTTCTTTCAAAATAACCGTCATAGTATAGACTATGAGAGATAAGCTGGTTTATCCTTACAGTAAATGAATTAATCCTATAGAACCAAAGCCCATTCTTTGGACCTTATTCTGCTTTTGTGGTACCAGGGGACCTGACAGTCCTTGTAGGTGAATTTTAGCTGATGTAGATAATATGGGCCTTGTTTACAAGGGAAGGCCGGTACAGGCTTTTTCCACCAGGTTTGAGAAGCCTTGTTTGGGTAAGGACAGCCCGCGTGTCTGGTTCAGCACTGGGAGGTGATGGTTGTGGCTTCATCTGCTCTGTTCTGGTCAGTGCTCGAACACTAAGGAAACCGTGTTTTCCTCTCTACGTCTCCGTGCAGGTGTAAGAAAGGAGACACGGGGGTTGTCTCGATTTCACGTCTGGTTTTCTGTCTCTGTCCGTAGAGCGGAGAAACTCCGGGGCGCACGGAGCTGGCGTGGAGATCCCCGCTGTTCCCTCCTCCGGATCCCGTTCGCCATGTGCAGACCGGGGCCCTCCCACACGGACACGCGTGGGGTTGGCCCCTAGGGCCGGGCTGAGGTTGCGGCGGCAGGCGGAACCCTCGTCGCGGGCCCCGTTTCCGTGCGGTTGGTGTCGCGGCGGCAGCCCCGCCATGGCGGCGGACGGAGGGGACCCGCTGGGCTATTTCGCGGCCTACGGCAGCTCCAGCTCGGACTCGGAGGCCGAGGAGCCGCAACCCGACGAGCGGCAGGCGGGGTCCGGGGCGGCGGTGGGGGGCAGCCCGGGGCGACGGGCGCGGCTGCCATCGCCCGACGAGCTGTTCCGTAGGGTGTCGCAGCCGCCCGCCTTCCTCTACAACCCGCTCAACAAGCAGATCGACTGGGAGAGCCGCGTCCTGCGGGCGCCCGAGGAGGTGAGGGCACGGGTGGGGCCGGGCGCTGCCGCCGCCCCGGATCCGCGGCCTGGTGTGACGGGACGGGTCTCTGCTCTCTCCTGCAGCCCCCCAAGGAGTTCAAGGTGTGGAAGAACAACGCTGTGCCCCCCCCCGAGAGCTACACCCCGCCCGAGAAGAAGCCCCCGCCGCCCCCTGGCCTGGACATGGCCATAAAGTGGTCCAACATCTACGAGGACAACGGCGAGGACGCGCCGCGGCAGACGGGCAAGGCCAAGTTCCTGCCGGAGGAGGAGCAGGAGCACCTCGAGTCGGGTGAGGGCCCGGCGCAGGGCAGCGGCGCCGGCGCGGAACGCGTGTTTACCAGTTGTGTGCGCGGAGCCCACCCTGCACGGAGCTTGGGAGACATGGTCTAGTGTGAGGTGTCCCTGCTTGTGGCACGGGGTTGGCACTGGGTGAGCTTTAAGGTCCTTTCCAGCCCAAACCAGGCTGTGATTCTATGCAGTGCTGCCGGCCGCGCCAGTGGCTATAGGCATAGTGACTGCAGAGTATCTACTGGTGTGCCCAGAGCACAACTTCCTTGTGCCCCGGCCATTGTCGTTAGCAGAAGCAGGTCTTTGCCTATATCTTGACTTCGTGTCTCAACACCACTGGGACAGCAAGGACTCCTCAGCTATAGAGTCCTTGTATTGGAGAAAGTGTTTTCTGGGCATGTTAACTAGAGGAAAATGGAATTGTTCTTCTGGGATGGACATGCAGTGATCATCTAGTTTAAAGCGTGGGCTGGATGGTGGACACAGGCTTGGTAGAGTCAATGGAAATCCAGTGCTGTGCAGGGCGTTACTTAAGTATTGGTCTGTAAGAGCATCCTGCAGGGTGCATACTTTGGGAAGAAAGGGTGATACGGACTTGGCAGCATTATGTTTACAGTTGGACTCAATGATATTAAGGTCTTTTCCAACCTAAATGATTCTGTGATTCAAGAGTCTTTAGAGCTGTATTTATATGAAATAGGCTCAGTTATAGTACTGCTAAAACAAAGTGGTGTGAGGGCTTCCTTAAGCACTGCTGCCTTGGCTCTGGGTGTAGATGTAGGTCTCATTGTTTTTATAATGTTTGTAAAACCTGGGGGCCAAGAATGGAGTCAAATGTCCATGTGACAGATTACTGTCCTTGTCACTCTTCATGCTGGTACAAACTATAGTGGTAATCTCAGAAGTAAAGAAATAGTTGACAGGATGGAGGTATTTTTAATTCTGGTTTTTTAATTGCTGGAGAAAGAGACTAGGCAGCAACAATCAGGAGAGCAAAACCAGAAGCAGAAATTCTGGTCTTTCAGAACACATGACAGTGTTTTGGTTCACCAGTAAAGTTGTCAACAAAGGAAGGTTTTATTGCTCTCTTGCTCCTTTTGTTGTTGGGGGTGTTCATTCCCCAGGGCAGTTATTCTGTCTTTGTCTTGCTCCATTTCTGGATGCTTTTAGTGTTTTCTCCTAGACATTTCTCTTAGCCTTCATCCAGAGGTGAAGAAGATAATCTGCTTATTTACCTGGACATTACTTCTAAAATGTGATTTTCTAACATCTGTTCAAATAATAAGGGTTGTTTTTTAGAACGGGTACTGCACAGTAGCATAACAAAGCCTCTTGTTAGTTATCCTCAATGGCCTGTGGTAGGAATAGCAAGTAATCATTGTATTCTGTCCACGTGCTGGCTACATTCCATGAGTGAGGATGTTGTCAG